AAGCAACGCACCCACACACAAAGGAGGGGAACGTTATTATAGGGGCGAACGCGAGCGCGCACCGATGCCGTCGTGTTGGCCTTACATCGTGCACTGTGCGCCTCTGTATGATAAGGTCTCGGCGCGCGTGTACGTGTGTTTATGTCTGTGCACGCGAACGGGTGAGAACCGTAATGGGTTGAAGAGAGGCGAAAGGGCGCAGTCGCGAAGCCGGAGCCATCCTCGACCCCCGGCGGGCAACGGTGGCAGCGCCGGCGTCGGCGTCGGCATCCTACCGGCTCGAGGAGAGACTGAGTTTGTCTCGTGCGAGGGTGCGGGCCGCACACGGTTCGCGTAACCTGCTTGTACTACCTACGGTGAACGCGCGCGCTTCACACTACAGTGTTCTCCGGCTATCTCACGTTTCGACAGCGATCGAAAGAGGTGATATCCCCGTCGATCATCGTGATCGAACTGATTCTAACAAACACATCGGACACTGGATTGACTCCTCGGTTGTCCTATTGTGTATAACCGATTAATCTCGAGCGTATTAAGCTCGTTGTGCATAAAAGAAAAAAAAAAAGAGAGAAAGGACACCGTGTTCGAGGTATCGGTCGCGCGTCAACCGGCTCTGCCACCTAGGCAGCGGGTTTTCGAAAACAAGGAAACCGTGAGCGAACAAAGGATTTTATTGGCTCGTCCGTTTGGAAGAATGATCCAGCGAGGCTGTATCGGGTAGAGCTGTTCGTGATCAAACGTATAGAGGCAGCGTATCAGTAGGAACGGCTCAAGGGATTCCCGTGGTCGTGAATCCGGTTTTATATATCGTTTCCTAACAGATCATAAGTTTCACTGGCAGAGGAAGCGCCGAGGGATTGAAAAGCGTGTGCGCGTTTGGGTGTGTGTCCCGTTATGACCAGCCACGATTGAGTCCACGTTCTGACGATCTCTCACATATATACCAGGCCCGACGAACACGTAAGTGCTGATTGCTTCTGCTCTCTGTGTACGCAAATCTCTTCTCTGACATTGCACGTTCGAATCGTCGGTGGTCTTTTGTCACGGGAATATCGTATGCGGGCTTTAAGTCACCGTCTTTCGCTCGTCTATGCGGGATTCCTTGGACGACCAACGAAAAATGAGACTACCAGCCTGTGTTGTACACACCGCGGTGCGGGATATTGCATTTTAAAAATTCTCCTCTTCCGAGGCTAGTTAACTTTAAGCCTCCGTCTCGCAGGGGAGAAATATAAGGGTCGGATAATATTTTTAACGCGTCTCATCCTTGCTACACTCTCCTTCGTTATCGCGTCTCATTTCCTAGGTGTCTGCCAAGGGGGGAAGAAAAGAAGCAGACCAAACGAAAGAGAAAAAGTAAGAGAAAAGAAACACGAAGGGTAGAAGAGAGAGTACACGCAACTCTGTGCGTTCTTCCTTTCCCTTCGAGTAGCGGTAAATCCCTTACTCTAACGAGAGAGTCCTTGGGTAACGATCGTAACGACAAACAAGGTAGAAAGCCCGCGAGCCTCGGGGATCTCGACGAATGATCGACGATCAGAATCTACGGGAAAAGGGTTCTTCTCCCGCGGCTGGAAAATGTTTAATACGCGCGAGGTTACGCTTCGGCAAACGTAATTTCCACGTGCAGGAATAGGCAAACGGTGGATTAGTTTCACGCGGTTATCAGTCTAGCGGGATGAGTTTCTCGCCGGAGAATATTTTTGTACGCGCGTCGATCGCGGACACGCTCGTGAATACACAGCCGTCCGTTCTCCGTCGAGTCGGAAAGGGAGGAATTAATTCGAGGAAGTACCATCCACGAGTGGATCGTCGGTTCGACGATAGACGACGCGAGGGTGAAAGGAAGGAGAAAATAGGAACGAGTTCAGGTACATATATATATAGGACATGCAAAAGTATTGCTGGAAGCGCACGGTGTTTGCGCCATCGTCTTAATTAAAAGCATTCGAGTGATGTGACGTCCAACTTTTTCTCATTAATCCCATTTCTTCAGTATTCTCATCGGCTTGTATCGTGCTCGGGCAAACTTCGACTCGGTTCTTGTACGCGGTCTCGCTTAATTATACACCGTTCTTTGACGTAAAGCCAACCAGATCCTCTCTATCCCAGTGTGTGTGTACATCTTCGTTTTACGTTCTCGATTCGATAAGGTACGCGCGTGTCGAGATTGACAGTGTCACGACAGACGTGTCGCCGTTACGAATTAAAGCTGGCCAGCGACTGTGCTCGACAGGGACGAATCAATTTGTACGCTGTAAAAGAACGGTAAAACAGGGTCCGGGGCAATTTGACCAAGACGTCTCGTCGATTCGTGAACGGAAGTTACGATACGACCGTTCGATACGTAGTATTCCACGTATTAGAGGAACGTGGAGGCTCGGCGGCGTTATGCCCGGCACGTACAGCCGCGAGTATAATGCAAGATCGTCGCTGGATAATTTCATTTCGCCGAACAAATTTTCCCTCGGTTATTACGGTTTTCGACTGCCTCGTCCCCTTTCGGCTCCCTCGTTCGTTCGACCGTGTTCGTTCGCTACCACGAGAGAAGAAAGAAAGAAAAAAAAGGACAGAGCTGTGGGGGAGGAAGTGGGTAAAACAGGGAACTGTCGCGAATCCTGCGATTCGAGGTAATGATATTACGCGTCGTAAATCTCGCCTGTTAACAAAGTAACCGGTGAAAACGCGTTAGTCGACACGTGTAACCCTCTCTCGATTGATGTTATCCATGTTCACACGGAAACACGCCCAACGATATTAGCCGTAGTTATCGAGAGCTTGCGCTCGGAGTTGTGTCATAATTCAGGGGTTATTGGATCCTGGAGAGAGCTATTTTTTTTATACGAGATGATAGTGTAATTGGGAGTATTTAGAAACGTGTGTTAGAGTGTTGTATAAGTGAAATTGAGGTGTAGGAGTAAGTTGCGGTGGAATTTCACTGGTTTTGCCGTTGGTCGAGCACAGCCCCGTGAAATCTGAATTCCGTTGGATTGACGGAAAATGGTATAAGAAGAGATAGAGAGGCGGCCGCGAAATCCTATCGGAATATATTTGCAGATATACGTATATAGTTATACATATATGTCTGGATTCTGGGTCCTTCGTTCATTCGTTCGTTCGTTTCTTCCTTCCTTCCTTCCTTCGTGCCTCGCTACCATCCGTATGCAATTTTTAAGAGGGGAAATATGTCAGTCTTTCGCGAAATAAAACTTTATACGATTCCACGCTCGTGCACGAGACTTATCGTGAACAAACGCGTGTGGATATTGAAAATGGTTGGGAAAGAATGATTTCTCGCGATTTGCATTAGGTGCCTGTGCTTGGATGGAACGATCGATGCGTTTTATACGTTTGGAATTTGTATATCGCGGTTTTTCCCTCGGTTCAGAGTTCGTTTTAGGAAGCTAATTGGGCTTTGCTGTAATTTCGTGATGTAAAATGTAGGCTAGTGTTTGAGTTCACGAGTGTAATTGTTTCTCGAGGGATTGCAAATGTTTGAAAATTAGATACAGAGAAGAAATTCTGATATTAGAAATTTGGTTATTTTTTTATTTGAAGATTATTGCCGCGAGAGTTTCTAAGTGAATTTTTCGGAAATTAGGTACAGAGATGTAACTTTGACATTCCAAGATTTTATTTTAATTGTAAAATTATTGCCGCGAGAGTTTCTAAGTGAATTTTTCGAAAATTAGATAGAGAGATGTAACTTTGACATTCCAAGATTTTATTTTAATTGTAAAATTATTGCCGCGAGAGTTTCTAGGTGAATTTTTCGAAAATTAGGTACAGAGATGAAATTCTGATATTCCAAATTTAATTTTTAATTGGAAGATTATTGCTACGAGAGTTTCTATGTGAATATTTCGAAAATTAGGTACAGAGATGAAATTCTGCTATTCCAAGATTTGATTTTTAATTGTAAGGTTATTGCTACGAGAGTTTCTAGATGAAATGTTCGAAAGTTAGGTACAAGAGTAGAAATTCTGATATAGCAAGTTTGTTTTTTAATTGTAAGATATTGCTAGGAGAGTTTCGAGGGTAAATCCTTCACATTTCGCTATGTAGTTTAGAGGATCGTTGCTGTCGCCTTGTTTCACGATTCAAGGCTAATTTGATACACACCAGACACACGTATAAATGTTGCACCGTTATAATTGAATGGCTATATTTAGAACCTGTCGTTATTATTCAATGGAATATTTGCTGAATAACTAACGAAAAGTTTCCTCGTTAGACACGTCTTGGAGTACACAATAGGACGAACAGTTCAAGAGTATCGTACAATAGTCTTCCTTTTAACAATGCGTACGGAACGTTGAATTCTTTGTAACAATTTTTCTAAAGGTTTCGCATCTAATATTGTATTCTCCTTCACACATTCGGCTGAATCCTTATCACTACTTCTCTACTATTTTCAATTTTTCTAGAAATAAATTACAGGGAAATAGAAAAAAAAAGTTTCTTTTTCTTACATTAAAATAGAAATAAATTTAGGAAAATAGATACGTAGATTAAATTAGGAAAATTATGCGTATTATCAGAATTATTTATATACTCATTTGAGATAAAAAATCATGCATTTTACATTATGCAAATTATCAGAATTACTAATATTCTCATTTCAAATAAAAAATCATTTTACATTTCGCGAATTATCGGAATTACTGATACTCTCATTTCGGATAAAAAATCATGTGTTTTACATTTCGTGAATTATCAGAATTATCGACATACTCATTTCAGATAAAAAATGACGTGTTAGTGAAACAAACATTTCTACGGTATTTTCCGGATATCGATCAACCAAGAGAAAATTACCACGATCCAACAATTTCCTAGCCAATCTCTTCTTCGTTTGAAATATCAGGTACCATAAGGAAGATCTACGGTGTCAAGAATGTAAAACATTGGCCAGTCGTGTTGAAACAGTGACGTCACTCGCGAAGTCCTTGCTGTTCGTCACGTTCACCATGACGAATATCCTAGCTACGTCTTCTGTTCCCGGTGTTTCGGTTTCGAGATGTCCTTCAGTACTCGAGTAACTTTCGATGGGGCCAATAAACAAAAGTACGTTTCCACTCTTGGACAGGTTGTCGATAAGCCTGTTGTGTTGGTAATTTCGCCCTAAAAATTTCTCGATACCCCTTATTGTACACGTGTTGAGCACCAGGAAGCGATGTCAAGCGACGAAACCTTAAGACTCTACTTCGTATAAATCACCTTGTGCACTCTCACCTTACGAAAATTAAAAAATACTGGACACCTACAGTCAATTCTACTTTTTACACTGATTTTCCAGTATCATACTGACGAATAAGACCGGAATTTCAATATTTTTGAAAAAGAAATGAAATTTCAACATTTTTTCTGTCAAAGAAATGATTGTTTCACGTGGAACTTTTAGCGCGAAAATTTGATTGCCAGAGTGAACTCAAAATTACGAGTTTCAAATTAATCGATATGTGACGATTATTAGATTGTAAAAAAATTGTGAGTTCAATCGCGTTTTCAGTATTGTATTTTATATTCTTCTTGGACAAAGTGGTTTTCTACCTTTTTTTTTTTCAAGAATTTTTGTCTTCGATATTTCCAATTTCTTCCTTATTTTTCGATATCGATATCTCCACGATTATAATTTCACTTAAATTATCAATATTTATTCTCAACAGAGCATATTTGCAATCGTAAATCTTCAAATTAATGATATTGGTATATTCGATTACTGGATTAATCTAAAATAATTAAAAATTATCGGCATCACTTGCATAAAGCAAGTTACAGACAGCAGATGTTCAACGATAACCTCAAAACCTTTTGTTCTATTTGTGCCATATTTAAATTCGTTCCACAAAATTAATCCAGAATTACTAAAGAAACAAAACGAAACCAACCATTAAGCTAAGATGCAGTAAAAGGCGCGAACTGCACAATACCATCAAATTTCCAAAGCCAACAGCACC